GTTCTCTTTCACCAAAAAAGAATTGGTAGAAACCAAAAAGCTAAGAGATGGTCGGGCGGGCCAAAATCAATAGATTTCAAGTCTCTCTCCTCTATCACTCACTCGGGACATATGTACTTCTTTGCATGCCAACCCTAATTTAGTGAGGATTTACTAGGGTTCATGCAGGCCCAGCGCCCCAGCCCTGTGGCGAGGCGGATGAGGCCTGTGCCTCAAGCCCAAAATTGGAGGGGGCCTATTTCTGGCCCAATTTTTTTCCTTTTTTTTTTTTTGCAGGCCAATACTGGATGTGCATCGTCTTTGGCCAATCATAATTTTTTTTTTAATTACAAAATGGAAAATGGAAAATCAATTTTCATTCTCTCATTCAACCCGACTCCAACTGTGACGTTGACGTCGACGCCGTCTCTTCTCGACCGATGACCAGTCAACCTCGTTGCCGCTTTTCCAGTCCTCCTCCCCTTCCCATTCCTTCACTCTTTCACAAACTACAAGTTTCACACATTTCACAACATTTTTCAACCCTAACGACCTAACCGCCTGAGTCGCGATGTCGCAACTTCCCAATCCTCTGGCCAGTCGGCAGTCGCCACCCGTTGACGTTTGTCGCTGGAGGTAACTGTCCGAGTTTCCAACAGAGCAGAGCTGCAGCGTAGAGGTTTAAAATTGTTTAATTGATTTAGGATTTTGATTAGAATTCTATTTTTCAATTTTCATGGAAGGGAACCAGAGATTTAATTTGGGAAGTTTGGATCAATTTTTGCTGTTGATTCCTCATCCCTGCTGGCTGTTGCCTGTTGCCTACTCATAGTTTGGGCCAATATTATCACTTTTGCCAAAATTGATGGTTTGGACCAGTTTTATCACTTTTGCCAAAAGCTTTAGATTCTAATTATAGTGTATAGTTATTCCCTTGACTGCAAATTAACTTGATCAGACATATATTGGGTATTTCATGTTGCCTTAATATTTTCCCCTTGACTGTTCATGACTTTGCTTTTGATTCCTTATTCCTGAATATTTCTTTTCCTATGTGATTTTGTCCCAATGAAATGTTAAATTTTATTTCAGGCTTGTAAGACGCGACGGCGGAATTCTTAAAGGTGTGAATTGTGATTCCACAATTTTCGTCGAAATTCTACTTCTCAAGTGGCTTGCTCTAACTTGTTATTGAATATATTGGAAATGTTTGAAATCTTGTCGGTTTATATAATTGTGGTTTGGTTGTCTTATATGATTGATTATTGTATATGATCAATTGTATAGACGCACGTAAGAGCTATATTGAAAATTTTAATTGTGAGACGATTTAAATATTTTATACTTGTCTTTTAGACTAATCATTGGTCATTAGATATAGACTCATCCACCATGCTTCTTAAATATGAAAAAGGCATGGTTGAACAATTAAATTATTCAAATTTGATTAATATTTTTGCTTTTAAAACAGCAAGACGAATATTATCTAACTGATTGTTTTAACTCTTATCGACTTTGTTACTTTATAATATAAATCTTTTATTGGTATCCATTCTTTTTTTTATTCTCATTCTTCTACTAATTTTCAACCATACATTCATCAATAAAATAATATTTTCCATCACATCAATAACTTTTCCTTCATTTTCAACCACAAAAAAGGTGTGATTTGACACAAAGAATGCATTTTTTTCTAGAATAATGGTTACCAAACGGTGCCTAGGTCAATNTGTGATTTGACATAAAAAATGCATTATTTTCTAGAATAATGGTTACCAAACGGTGCCTTATATTTGTTTATTGTTTCACTGTTAAGTTTTAAATTAACAATATGATGCATAATATACTGTTGAATTTTACATTTACGTTGATTTTGGAAGGAGATCTCGCCTCGCACCTCAAAAATCACACAACTGGCACTGATGACTGTGAACGCAGCTTATTAGTGACTGTGAACCAAAATCGTAGAAAGAGACACTTTTGAAGTTCCAACGAAACCATTTCGATTACAGAGATGCGTTAAACTGGACGATACTCATTTTCAGTTTTGCCCCTTTTGTGTATACTGAATTGAAAAAAAATGTCTTCAGTAAAGTATAAA